ATTTGCCATTTTACTTATCCCTCCTGGAACATCAACCCTGTTACATATCTTAGTATCATCAGCAAAAAGACATACCTTACCATCAAGACCTTCTGTAATGTTTGTGTATTGGATGCTGTGTGTATAGTTAATGAAGCGTGTATGTTAGTGTAGTGAATGCAGAGTGTGTGTCCCTCTCCCAAACCCCTTACTGGTACTTGCCCTCCTCCCCCCCTTAGTGGTCCTTTCCCCTCTCTCAGTGGTATTTACCTGCTTTCCCCCCTCAGTAGTCCTTACCCTCCCCCCCCCCAGTGGTCCTTACCCTCCTCCCCTCTACTTAGCGGTCCTTCCTCCTTAGTGGTCCTTTCCCTCCTTCCCTCCCCTTTTGTGGTCCTTCCTCTCTTCCCCTTAGTGGTCCTTACCCTCTTCCCCCCTTAGTGGTCCTTACCCTCCTCCCCTCCTAAGTGGTTCTTCCCTCCTTTGGTGCTCCTTCCCCTCTTCCCCCTTAGTGGCCCTCCCTCTCCCAAACCCCTTAGTAGACCTTCCCCTCCTCCCCCCCCCCTCAGTGGTCATTACCCTCCCCCCCCCTTAGTGGTCCTTACCCTCCTCCCCTCTCCTTAGTGGTCCTCCCTCCTTACCCCCCTTTGGTGGTCCTTCTCCCCCTTAGTGGTCTTCCCTCTCCCAAACCCCTTAGTGGACCTTCACCCCCCTCCCTCAGTGGTCCTTACTTACCACCCACCCTCCCCCAGTGGTCCTTACTCCCCCCTCCCCTCCCTCAGTGGTCCTTACTCCTCCCCACCCTCCCCCAGAGTGGTCTTTACTCCCCCCTCCCTATGTGGTCCTTACTCCCCCTCCCCGTCATGGTTGTCACCCCCTGATGGCGGCCATGGAGATACAGGAAAAGAAGGTTAAAACAAACAGAGAGAAGGTGGGAAAATTATGGGTAATGTAGTAAATAAGAAGAGTGGAATAAAATGAGGAAAAGATTGCAATAAGGAGTCTGGGCATCTCTGGTATTTGCTGCCCGGCTACTCGTACTACACACACGGGGGCCCCCTGCAGCCTACATTCCCCAAGTTTCATTGCGGCAAAGCATGTGACGCAAGCGCGTCACCGGTTGCGGCGCGTCACGTGATCGCCCAAACCTGGAAGTAAGAACTTTCCGTTAAATTATTACGTTTTATTGCCTAAATAAGTTTTATTTTGACAAATTCAAAAGACTTTTTATTCTTTCTTAAAAGATATATATTATTGTTATGATATTTTTATTCTGTCTCACATTGTGTTGTATAACTCATATGTCTCACAAAATGACATCATTTTAGCGCCAAATTTGAAATTGTTAACTGATTTACTGCCTATATATACTATTCTGTACCAGGCCTGTGTTTTTAATTGCCAGCTGATAAAAAGCCCTGTGTGGCTAAACTCTTTTTGGCTATTTTTAATTACTTTTTTAATGTACTAATAAAGGAATATTGGCTATTATTCTGCAGTTGCCATATACCTTTTATATTATCCCTACTTTTTAAAGTTTCATTTTATTTTATTTTATTCTATATTTTTATTTATTTGAACCTGGTGATTTATTACATCGAATCACTCACTCGCTCAAGAATCCCAGGTGGGGATTATACCACCTACGCTATTAAAGTGAGCAGCACATTCTGCTCACTTAAATGTGAGTATTCCATGTTCTTATTTCTATCTGCTGTAATATAAATACAGTGAGCACTATATTTGTTTTATCTTTCTTTCCACACTGAGGACCTCTTCTGTTCATCAACACCTATATCCTACCAGTGGGGGATTGACGCCACTGAATGTGAGTTATACCTGAGCTAGTTCCAGCTCTCCAATAGGTGAGTCCAATACCTTTCTGCTGTGAAGTTTTTATTCCTACGTAATTTTAAGTCACAGTCTGCACTATTGGAATTTTCCCTTTTTATCTACATATCTCCATCTGGAACAAGAGAACCTGACCACTTTTCAGCTCTACAATCTGCACAGATCGCCACTACACTCAAGTCCCTACAAGTGGACCTGGCCCTCTACATGCTCATTTGTTATTAGGACTTATTTTTATCTTATCTTAATTGATATATGTAAGCACATACTGTGTCTCTACTACTTTATATCACATTGTGGTGTTATTTTCATCATTATTTTATCCCCGCTATCTATTTTTGGTTTTATTATATCTTTTCAGCGTATTTTGGCACGACCTATAATCTTTATTTTCTAGATTTTCTAGATTTATCTCTTGTATTGTCAGGATCTGCTCTGCTCTGTTGTGATATCTGACTTGGTTTCTGGTATCCAGTATCCTTTTTCAATCCTTGCTTAGTTTTTCTTGTGTTTTCTGGTTTTCTATTCCATATCTGGTTTTCTTTATGCTGGGTTTCTGGGTTCATTCTTATATTCCGTACCTGGATTTCCCAGTCTCTTGGTTTCATTTAAATGTTTGTTTTATGTTACCACACCCGTTTGTTTTCCATCATTCCTTTTGTTTCAGCCTGGACCTGCAGCAGTGTTTCAAGTCTCTGCCCTTTCTTGCAGGTAAGTGCTATTGTGGTTTAGTATGGTTCTTTTAGCGAACATTAGGCAGTGTAGGACCTGCGGAATATGGGGTACATTGGCGTTGTGGCAGGCTTATGCAATGTATGATCATATAATGTAACTAAATCCCCATACTTTTCATATATAGTGCTTAGTTATGTCTCCTACCTTGTCTTGTTTTATTTTGTAATCCCAGTCCTGTCCTGCCCCTGTTTAGTTAATGTTCCCTCATGTCTTGTGTACATGTTCTGGGTTTAGCTTCCTATCCTTCTCTGGTTCTGGGTTCTATTAGTTCTGTCTTGTTTCCATGTTTGGTGCCTATCTCTAGTCTTGCCTTGTTTCAGTACTGCATACATCTCAGCATATGTCTGCTCTGGCTTCCACTAAGCTGCTACAGGGTCTTGGTTTGTGGCCGTACAAACGCTGGTGCTCAACACCAGAGGGCGTGTGGTTGCCCAGCACCAGGCCCTGATAATCCACTTCCACGCTAAAGACTCCCAACTTCTCATCAGGCACTAATGGGTCCCGGTTTCCGTACCGCCACCCCTGACAGGTATTACCTGATTTGTCACTCAGTATTCTAAACAGTATTCCTACATTGCAATAGCGGAGAGACATCTGGAAGAGAAAATATAGCGGTATAGTTTCCATACACCAGCTGTGCAGAGGTTTGTGGGGCATATACACTCTCCTGAAGGTTTTAGCAAAATACAAAAGATCAAATAGATACTGTCACTCTCTCTCTCTCTCTCTCTCTCTCTCTCTCTCTCTCTCTATATATATATATATATATATATATATCTATATATATATATATATATATAGATATATATATATATATATATCCTGTATGAAGGTGGCTGCACTCACGGTCTTAAATAAAATGTAACATTTATTATTTAGTCATAACTATAATCCTGAAGAAAGTCCCTAATTGGGACTGAACCGTTGATCTTGCTTTTAGGATATTATTGTTTTATAAAAGCAACTGTATCCTGAAAAAATTGCTAGTTTAAATGAACTCTCACACTCCCATAATTTATCAGACGCAGCCATTATACGTAAATATTTAGTACAGAATCAAGGTATCGGACACATTAGACATCATTTTGAACTGGTTTGTTTGACTATAAAGTTAATGGTTTCCTAATAGCATGCAAATTTGCAATGCAGCCTTTGATAGCTTCAACCAGCACAACAATTAAATGAAAGTGTAGTGATGTAAAGTACAAGATAATGAGCATGCTGAGAATGAAATGCTGGCTGCATATGTGAATTCAGTAGCTAAATTTATGGTTACTGCAATCGCAAGCAGCACTGTGAAAAGAGAACAAAGAGTCTGCTCTAATGAAATAATACTTTTATATTTCAGCTGAAATTTTACCAGTTGGAACATAGCAACATTGAAATGATTCACCTTCACGGTCTATGATTATAAACCAGTATTTATAAATTCTCATCAACCTAAATGTATAAGTGAATGTAAATTCAATAAGGAAAGAAGGCTCTTCTGTGTTATAGAACCAACCTATAAAAAAAAAAAAAATATCTCTGATATGATTACTCTGGCTACTGAAACTTTCACGAACCTCTAAAGGTTCCAGTCTCTGGTATGTGAATGTTAAACACAAATTTTAATAGGACCAGGCAGCAGCAGACCCCCTATATGGCTGGACCTTCAGTTTATAGCTGGAATGCCCAACCACTTAGTTTGTTGCTGCTCACAACTGGCCAAGGGGGCTAAAGGGCACAACCTCTGCATTCGTCTTACCCATGGTGCACATACTCTGTAGGTTAAGAGTTAAGGGTTTATGAGATAAGAGGCAAATAGTAAGAAATAACTACACCTTTACAGATTGACATTAATGACTGACAAATGAAAACAATCATAAAATTGATCTTTCTAGGCTCCTGGCTTGAAATTACAAAAAAAATAAAAAGATAAATACAGCCTTAATGGTACCAGTTTTTCTCCAAGTGCTAAATACAAATCTTCATCATAGATGTTTGATTGGATTTATTTCTGCATATTTTGTAGTCAAATACATAAGGAAATAAACAACCTACAAGATAAAATCAGAAAGTACCACAAATGGTGCATACCAAAAAACACCAGATAATAGCTAGTGTAAAAAGGCACTCACAAGCATAAATTTAAAGCAGGCAGAATATGGAAATATCAGTAGAACTTCTTTCTTCTCTACTTCCCAACTTCTGTGCTTGTTGGAAGAGAAGAAACAAAACACTGTATAACACCAAAAAGAACACTTTATTTTATGCACTCACAAGATAATTAAAAAGTAAAAGCCCATCACAGTTTCTTTACTCTCAGGAGAAATTCTGTATACAATCTCCAGCACCCGGAAATCTGTTGTGAAGGCAATCAGTAAAACACAGGAAAAACTGTTCTTTCACCCTACGCATTCATAATTAGACTTCCTCAGGGCATTCAGCGTGTGTCTGACAATTCTACCAAGTCCTGGGTTTAAAAACCCTGGTTGGCTCCTCCCAAATTGCCTCACAGCCAATCGGGACAGAGCTAGTCCACCTGATGTCGCTAATCCTCATTTATGGGTCATGCCTCATTGTGAATCCTTCTGGTTTCAAAACAGCCATGAAATCAACACGTCCAAGGAGGCAGATGTCTTTCTTTTCTGCAGGGGAAAGCAGATGCGTTCCATCTTCATATAAGTTCGAATCCACGCAAAAGTCTCTTCACAAAGTCAATTCTCCGAGTCCATAAATAAGAATGTAACGGACATGAAACAGGTATTAATAAAATCTGGTATGAATATTTTAAAATCTTATAATAACCAATCATTAATAACAAGAGAAAGAAGAGAGAGAGAGAGAGGGGACCTAAAACTTACATATAAAAAAACAAATCATATCAAAATCAACATTAAGACCATCAGGCTGCATGGTTTTGAGAGTGTAAATCCAGAAACCCTCTCTCTGTCTTAATTTTAACACTAAATCACCTCCCTCCCCCCTTCATCTAAAGTTATTTTCTTTATATCTATACACGAAAAATTCCCTGGATTAAAACCAGAGGAACGATTAGAGTGTGCAGGCGCTGAATAAGTAGTTCAATGTTTCCTTATATTATTCTGATGTTCTAGAAATTTCCTTTTGAGGGGTCTAGTTGTTCAACCAAAATAATGTTCACCACATCCACATGTTAATAAATAAACTACGTGGGTAGTGGTACATGTTATATTGTGTTTTATCTTAAAGGACTCATTAGTTATGTTGCTGTTAAACGTATAAGTCCTCTTCAAGGAATACTGACAACTTTTACAGGAACCACAAGTGTAGAAACCTATATCAGGAAATTCTATTTTAGAAGAATTCTTGTAGGTACTAGGGGCTAAAATTTTTAAATTACTTCCTTTTCTAAAAATAACTTGTGGGACTGGGGGGAGTTCGTGTTTCAAAATGTCATCCTCAGGGATGACCCTGGGCCGTTACGAAACCCAGTCTCGTGGCACAAGGGCATCAGCTCCCGCACAGCACCGGGGCAGCAGGGCACAAGCGACCTATCACAGCTCTGGAAGTTCCTCGGGAGGAGTGGACTTGGGATCACACTGGAAGCCTCAAGGCTTGCGCGAATCAACGAAGATATCCAGCGGAGACCGGACTCTACAGGCCAGTGAGCGCAACCAACGCCCAGCAGAGCCACAAGAACACTCCAGGGCGACCCCAGGGGCTCCACGGCCGCACCAAGCCGGGGCATTGGCTGACAGTGCCATATGTGCCCGAGCACAGTAACTGTGTCCCCATCCAAGGACTTACCACAGCGCTACGGCTCATTAACCCTTAGCTAGACCTTACTGTTGAATTTATATTACATCAGACTTTTAGTTGACTACTATCTCTTTGCTTACTCCTGCACATACCCACATAATCTGCATTGCCAGAAAGGAGCACTAGGGGTTAACCCCATCACCAGCTATACCCAGACATCCAGTCTTAACAAACCGACCAACGTACCCACTAGCCCTCACAGGGTTTTCTGTTAGCGATGTGAGGTGCGGGGGTCCTAGAGATAGAGGCTCAGCAGACGTTAAAAAATGTCATCCTCAAATAGAAGAGGCCAATGTTTTTCTAAAATCTTTTACATTTTAAAAGCTTGAGAACTATACTGGGTATTAAAAGAAAAAGTGAATTTATTGTTTCCATCTGTAGAGGGTTAATATGTTCTATCTTTAACCCCTTAAGGACAGGTGACGGAAATATTCCGTCATGATTCCCTTTTAATCCAGAAGTTGTGTCCTTAAGGGGTTAATAAGGTAATTTCTTCAATATCTTTAATCCATAACATCTCATTATCTATGGAATTCTCCTATAACCTTTTTCTAAAAACATATTTTTTTAAATTTTAGATTGATTTAAAAAACATTCTTTATCAACATTATTCCTTCGTATTCTGGTAAACTGGCTATAAGGTACTCCTCTGAGCCAATTTGGATTGTGACAACTTTGTACATTGATAAAACTATTGGCATCCGTGGGTTTAAAAAACTTTTTAGTTTTCATTTTAAAATCCTCAATATAAATGATAAGATCAAAAAAAAAAATATTTCTTTGGTATTAATTTTAGGAGTAAAAACTAATGATTTATTATTATTATTATTATCAATATATGTAATAAAACTGTTTTAAATCTCCCACTGACCATTTCCAAATAATCAGAATATCATCTATATATCTTCTCCATTGCACCAAATTTGCACCAAATGGATTATTTGACCAAACATTTTTGGTTTCCCAATAATCCAAAAAAATATTAGCATAACTTGGTGCGAATTTGGTGCCCATTGCAATACCCTGCAATAGGAGAAAAAAATCACCATTGAACAAGAAAAAATTGTGAGTAAGAATAAAATAAATATATAATATACCGAATGCACACTATAACAATCAAAGATATCAATATAAATATTTAATGAATATACAAATAACAAAGTATATAAAGACAGGAACAAAAATAACAGCACAAGGCAAACAATAATCAAATCTTACAAGCCTCAAGGCAGAAACACAAGTCACCAACTACCCTAACTACTACCAGTAGTAAATTAAACTTTATTATATTATAAAGTAAATAAAAAGATACTCCACAAGGGAGATAAAAGCAAAATGGTTTTACAAAATGTATAACTATACAATTACAAGTGCTTTGACAAATCTTCACAGTCTATATCGCATTAACAATGCACACCTCACAATTCAACCTCACGTACATTGTGCTTGGGAACATGACCTCAGCCCTCCGGAAGAACATATGGGAAGCACTAAGCTCCCTAACCTATGCGTTACACACAAAGAGCTGGTGTATTGTACACTCTTTTGTTGATACCTTAGCCCAAACAGACTTCATAAAATGATACCTTAGCCCAATTAAACTCTGTTGGAAGCTGTGTAGAGAAACCAATATTTAACTAGATTGGTGGTGGCAATGTCGCAAACAAAAACAATTCTGGACACAGGTACCCTCACTCATTTAAGAAGTCCTCACAAAACCCATCCCAGCTGACACTACTACTTTCAAAACCGACAGACTCCCTTACCAGGAGCCAAAATAAACTCAGCTAAAATCGTGCTAGCAGCGGACCGACTCATTCCCACGACAGCAACAGTGAAACATAAAATTAATTACTTGTATGAACCAAATAAATTGACTGTACAAATGCATGATTCCCTCAAAGCATTCCACAAAGTGTGGGACCCCTGGTATCCAAGCGGCCTATAGATAGATGACTGCAAAATCAATCTTATTACAGTACTATCAACTTAACCACCCATAGACTGTTTTATCTAGAATCCTTCAGGACAAGGATGCACCCCATATAATTAATCAATAAAGGGAAATTATAACTTCTCTCCCCCCTCCCCCCCCTTATCCTTTACTCTTCTACTTCCCCATTTAGCCCTTCCCCTATGAGTGGGGACGGGTGGTACATTTCCGTGACTGACGACCTCATATCTCCAACGCTTTTTCTCTCACATTCACGCTCTCTTTTGTTCTCCGATCACTCCATATATTCTTATTTTTGTCTCCACTGTACAGTTGTCCCTAAACACCTCACCCGTACTCACATCTCAGTTAAACCACAAATAGCACTACCATCCACCTACACTTTTCCTATAACACTCTCTCACATAGCTCAAATGTAGAACATACATTGGGAAGGCATCATTAACCCTTACCTACCAGGAATTCATAAGCACATTCCTGCTATATCTACCCATACTAAAATTATTACCGAACAGCTATTTTATATCCAAGTTTATTTTTTTGGTTTAGACTGCACTCACAATTCCATAGCTCTTCTCACCACCATGGCCACCAGTAACCGTAGGTCTCGAGGGTTAGTTGGTGAACTTCTAGGACCACTATCCTGTTCAATGTGCACGGATCTTCAGGAGGGTATCAGAACCCCAACTACTATTACAAAACAAGATTTCTAACAAGAGGAAGCCTGACAACCCGAAGCATGATTGTAAAGACTTCCATCACCAACGCAACCTATTCCCTCTGCTTCAATGATGCCATTACTCAGGTTGACCATCCTCAACTGCTTTGATTCTACTATATTATGCATATGTGTTGCACCTTCTTCCTTTATTGTGCAGTGTGGCTTGTATTATCTACATATGTTAAAACTCTTTACCAAATAAAGAATTTTTAAAAATCGAAATGTTACAAACAGGACAGGATAATGCAACAGAATTTTTTTTCGTTTGGGCTGCAAATGGTTTTGAACACCATTGTAAATCATAATATAAAAGGACATGACAAGGTCTGTAATAAAATGGTCTTAAACATGCCACTGTGTGGAAGCACAAGTAGGAAAAAGCTGCACACAGTCCGAATTTACAGAATTCAACCAGGTTTTGAAGAAATCAGCATGGCTGCTTTCAGTTTATTTAGATTTTCTAACCATCCTATGTGATGAATGCCACTGTAGGTAAGTGAATGAACTATGTATTCTACATACCTGTGCAGGACAGGACAATATTGGATAACACACGAAACGGCAAGAATGACAGGGCTTCTGACTGGTGTGGATGCAGACCACCGTGCAGCACTCTTTTTTTATTTTTTTATTTATGCATTAAGAACAGAGGGTCATTCCCTATGGTTTCCCATTTAATGTTTTGAAAATGTACATCCTTTTTTTTCCCATTTACTGTTTTTGTGGAAATTTTTTAAATAAAGGAGAGGGGTACAGAAAGGGGAAAAAAAAGGCGGTGGAGGGGATGGATGGGGGGGTGGGGGGGGGCGGGGGCTAACAATTTACAGCAGTTTATTCCATATCAAGGGAGACAGACCATCATTAACCTAAGCTGCAATACAGCGTAAACTTCAGTACATAGGCATTTGAGGGCAGGAAAGGAATCGGGAGGTACTGTTGAAGTATTTAGAAAACAGTGGGTATGGCATATGCACAAAATTGTTTATATAGGAAGTTCTCTCATCTACTGTCCTGAGCATTAGGAACCATAAATGATGTCAGTTACATCTTGTTACGCATTTTATCTATGTTGTACCGATCTTCAGTTACGCCAAAGCTCCGAAGCCTCAATGGCAGTTTGTGTTGGAGGGAAAACCCTGCTATAGCAGGTTTCATAAATTATGTTGGGTGTCTAATTCCTGTAGGAGGGCATTCACATGCGGGGCATTTGTAGATTTCCAGGCTCTTGCAATTGCATGTTGTGCCGTTAACAAA